ACAGTGTCATAGAAGGGTGTCCGATAAGAGTGTCCTACAGGAGTGGAGCAGAGGGTGACCTGTCCCAAAAGGGTGTCCTACAAGAGTGGACCAGAGTTTTCCACAAGAGTGTCATAGAAGTGTGCCAGACAGGAGTGGACCAGAGTTTCTTGTGTCCCACCAAAAGTGGCCTGATTCATTCAACTGAGGATATCAGTGCATGGAATTCAATAATGCTCTACTTTGACCAAGCGCTGGCCGATATCCAAAAAAATCCCAAATCCAGAACCATCCAGAACCCATGAGCTGGCCTGGGTCTCCTTTGATGTCACTCTCCGGTGTCCAAAGACACAAATCCAGTCTCTGCAGAACAGGAAGTTGGTGTCCTTCTTGAAGGTTTTCGCATCCAGGCCCTTCTCCGCATCCACGAAGCTGAACTCCACGGGAACCTGGATACCAGCTCCTATGGATACTCAGTACGAACCATACTCCCAAAAGACCAAGAGTAAAGACATGTAAAGAAGATATGACCAGATCCATACAGGGTTGACCCTCATTAATCTCAGTGCCATTGCCAAGCATTGCCAGGCAAAAGCAAAGAATTCGGTTCCGGTGGCCACAGAAAGGGTGGCTGGTGGGATGGCAAGCGGCTAAGCCAAGAACCGCAGTAGTGAACAGGGTGCCCTAAACAACTCAGAAGACCTAGGGGTGAAAACCCAAAAGATCAAGGTCAAAAAAATGTTTCCTGTTGGAAGGGGCACCCTGTTTGGTCAGGACAACCCACTTGGCTGGGTCAAAACCAGGTGTCACTGCTGGGCGCCGACATCGATCGATGCAGATGGGTGGATGGATGAGGGCAGCTTTTTTGGAAATACCCCTTGAAGAGTGAAAGATCCATACTCAATCCACCCTGGGTGATTTCGTGCCCAACATCCATTCTCCTTGGACATGGTGGACGATGAGTGAACATGACGGACCGTGGGCAAACCAAGGGTCGCAGTGGGGGTTGCTGTTCGGTGCGGCGAGGGGAACCGACTTCGACACGCAGGTGTGGCACCATTAAGTTTTTTTAAATATATTTATATACCCTCCAAGTCGATGACCTTGTAAAACTTGTCCATTAATTAAGATATCTAGGCCTAGGTAATCTGAGGAATTTAATCGAGGTGGCTCAAGGGCAAAAGTTGCCATGCAACCGTTGCTGACTAACATCCAGAGATGCTCCAAGTGTGCTGTCAAGATGCAACACCCTTTTTCATCATCTTCTGAAACTTCTTCTCCTTGGCTGATCTCTGTACAGTTTCCGCTATGATCTCATCATATCTCATCCAAAGGCCAGTGATAGTAGTATCTGGTCCTTGTGTGGCCAACTCCACTTAAAGTCACCATTTCCCATGTCAAGTTGCTGGCATTCCCATCTTCTTGGCCAAATCCTCCAGGCGGATCTCCCTGCCCTCATCCACCAGCCGTTGATCATAGAAGTCCTAGCCAGGCTCAGGTGGGTGCTCTCCATGTGAGCACACAAGTCCAACTCCAAAGATCTAGTCAGTGGTCGTGGTTCCTCTATGCAGCTCCAGCATCATGTGAGCCACAGTCAAAACATGCAAAGACCACTTTTTGAAAGAGGGGTAGGTTTGTGCTCACAACCCTGCAAATGGATAAGGTCCAACTCAAAACCGAATCAGGAGTTTTGACAGTCCCTCATGTCAGTTTCCAAATGGCCTGGCCTTCAGCACCTGAACAAGCAGCTCCCGTGGCTTCGAATCCGGCATGGCTTCGAGACGTGACCCCCGCCCCAGTCGAGTCCTAGGGATGATCGTGCAGAAACACTGTTGCCTTGCAATGGTGCTCCCTCATCCAGCTCATCCAGCCAAATGGCCACATCAAGATCGGCTCATGTATGTGGTTCTGCTCAGAAACACCAAAAATTTCCTACTGCGGTTCTTGGCTTAGCCGCTTGCCATCTAACTGCAACTTCTTGGTTCCTAGCTGCGGTTCTTGGCTTGGCCGCTTGCCATCCAGATTTCCAACCAAACAACCACCAGTTTCCTCTCCAATTCTATTCAAAAAAATTCAATTCATCATCCCATCGCGGTTCTTGGCTTAGCCGCTTGCCATCAAACACCCTGTTCCCACTGCTTGTCCATCCCAGTGTCCATCCCAGACTAAACATGGCATGTGCACCTTCATCTTCGACGATAGGCTCCCAGGCTTTCCGGTGATGAGCTATTGCTCGCCGCATCCCAACGCACGAGGAGGGAAGTGAGGCATGAATGCATGCAAATGTGTGTTTATGCCCTACAGGTGAAGGGCCTAATGTGACTGGATCCAGTATTCAAAACCAGTACTCCATGAGGTCAAGGACCCATGTCATCTATGTTGAGGCCTCAAATTGGGTCGCCTACAAAAATTTGCTGTAAAATACAAACAACGAGCCTCCATCTGCAGGTGACCCCAGTGGTTCCTAGAGGTGATCCTACTGCGGTTCTTGGCTTAGCCGCTAGCCATCCAGAAGCAACCCTTAATGGCTCCTAGCTGAAATCCTACTGCGGTTCTTGGCTTAGCCGCTTGCCATCCAGACATAACCTCTTGGTTCCTAGAAGACATCCTACTGCGGTTCTTGGCTTAGCCGCTTGCCATCCTTACCCATGGTTCTCTACTGCGGTTCTTGGCTTAGCCGCTTGCCATCCAAAATACCAACCAAAAAGGAGCAGGTTTCCTTACATATTTAACTAAATCCACCTCTCAGGAGACAATGAACACAATTCAGGTTTTGATGGGGTCAAGTAAAAGGTGTTCAACGTAAAGTTAATAGTGTTCAATGTCTTCATATTGAGATGGACAAGTTTTACGAGGTCATCGACTTGGAGGGCTAACCACGGGGAAATTAAAGTCCTCGGAACCTCAAGCCCAACACTCATAAAATTTGCGGGCAAAGCACCCCAAACATTGTGTTTAAAGGTCTAGAGTCTAGAGTCTAGAGATGTAGAAGCAGAAGGTCTTAGAGATCTAGATGTGCCTGGGGTATTTTGTCCTGCCAGTATCTTTACAATTGTCCCAGAAACTCAATGAAGCTTCCTCATCAAACCCTTACCTCAATTCGCTGTGCGAGATGCTGTAGCCTCATTCATTGCCACTGTCTCATCCTCCCATGTTTGGTTCAAAAATAGTGGGCTGTAAAACCTCCCAGGCAGCAAGAGGCCAGCGGCAATCACATGTCCGCTCTCCCATCGGCCCGAACACCGCCCAATCGAATCCGACCATCCGAACATGCGCGCGGATGTCGCGCGCGCGCGCCAGGAGGAAGAGAACGCCCACGGAGACCCACTTCCATTGCCGGACCTGTCGGACGCGTCCGGCGACGACGCGTCCGGCGCTTTCTCCGACGTCTGTGGCTGCAAACGTCGGCTGAGTGCAACTGGGTCACCCACTTAGTCGGACAGGTCAAATGGAGTTCGAACGTCAAACTGGTGGTCTCACAAAAAATAGAATCTATCCCTACAAGTCAAAGACCTCATTGTACTGGAGATGGTCATACAAAACCAGTACTCAAGGAGGTCAAGGACCAGGTTTGACTTGGTCCTTGAACTCGTAGGGTATAGTTGGACATTCCGTTTTATTTGTCCAGCGTGACTGAACAGGCGAACAGGTCGCAAACCGGGCACATCCTGGTCGCTCAGTGGCGACCACTTTGTCACTTCTCACTCCGCGGAAAAGGACTGGCGATGTTCGCCCGGCACCCTACACTGTATAGTTGTCAGCTTTTTCACATGTTTTCCGAATGGTCTAAGGCTAGCGTACTATACTATATATAATATATAATATCAAAAGTGGTTCAACTTTAGCTATAAATGAGGTTTGGTTCTAAGAACCATGCCACTTAAAATCACAAATTGTATGCAGCATGTCCGGAAAAAGAATGTGTCACCCTGGTGAATCCGCGCAAACACACGTTGTTTATTTTGATAATATATGAGCGGCGGACAACACTTCTTGGTGTCCCCAATGCCAAACGTATAGGTTGGCCCCGGTTGGCCCCTATCGGTTTTCTGTGTTTTGGAATGCGGGCAATAAGCTACTTTCAATCAAGACCGATCAGTATAGGGGCCCCTATCAGTTTTGCAAGGTTTTGACCACTTCAGAAATACTTAAGGCGGCTCATGGCTCAAGTACATGATCCAGAAGTTCTGTCGCCCGCAGCGGAACCACACCCCGAACCCCACCTGTGGCTCTGCGGACCACAAGCGCCGCGCCAACACGCCACCGGGCTTCCGCTCGCTTGGGTCCTCGAAGGCGAGGTCCCGGTGCCCAAACGGGGAAGGAACAGAGCGCAGTGCCACCCGCAGGTAGTAAAAGCCTCCGTCTATAGAAGTGTAGGCACCCATCCAAATTTGGTGTCCGCCTCTGGGTGACATGCATGTGCTCTTCCATGTGCAGACATGCCTGTGAAAAGGTGCAGGTGGGTGACTGTCACTGTGCGTCCGTTCGTGGAGACGTTCACCTCTAGAGTGGTCGGTTTGAAGCTCCTTCGATGTGTTCAACACCAAGACGTATGCGATACTCGAGACCTGAACGGACAAAACCCACGTCGTTCCTTCGCTTCGTTTGGACGGTGCAACCGAGCGGAGCGTTGGGTTTTCTTGAGGAGCAGAAGCGAACCGAAAGAAGTTACCACGGGGAAACCGGCCCATTTTAGAAGAAGCGTAAGTAAGCAAAAAAGGCAACACATCTTCGGTTAGATCCAAAAGTTAAGAGCAAAGCTGGGTATAAAAAGACTATAGGCGCCTTTTTGGTATCTCTCTCAGCATCTGAAACAATCTGCACCAGTTCATCTTGCCTGCAACACTTTCGGCTTTTTGCTGTGGTAACATCCCCCATTTCTTTTGCATTCTACACAAGCACACATGTGCATGCAAACAGACACTGGTGTTCTGGCACGCATGCAAGAAACATGTTTAGTTTAAATGATTATGATTTCATCTGCTTTCCAAACATCTGATTCCATCAGAATTCGCATGCGTGTGCATGCAAAAAAAGAAACACAATCATATTACTGTAACACATTCTTTCCAAACATCTGAGATCCTACCCAGATTCAAAACACTTGCAACAACTGTTCTCAGCACCATCAACTCAGCACCATCAAACGTGACAGCGTAAAACGTGACAGCGCACGTTTGGCATGTTAACTTAAGCACACCTCTATAGGATCCAGATAGATGGATATATAAATATGTTCTCTCTTATCATGGCCAGCCACCACCACGAAGGTCTCTGTTTGTCCCACCGGAGCTGGATCCACCGCTCCGTGTCGAGCTCGTCGAAGTCGAAGAAGGGCTCCGAGTAAGGGCTGGCCTCCCACGCGCACCGTTTTGGGCCGAGCTGTCCCGGCCAGGCTCTGTAGAGCCGCTCACGACCACTTGACCACGCTGCAACAAACATGCTGTGAGAACATACTTAGTAGCTGCAACAAACAAACATGTGCGGGCTCCTCGGCAAGGAGGTTCAAAGATTCGCCCAGCTTCGAAACCCGAGATTCACGCAACAAGGATTCTTCGATATTCACCCCATGTTTCCCGACCAAAGTGCCTCAAAAACATCATCCATCACTTCCAATCTCCAAGCAGCAAGTCGACCTGTTTTCTTTACATCCTGTTGCCCAGCGGACTCCGAGTGACCGATTTCACGGCTTTTAAACGAACGTTTCCGATCACGCGGCAACATAAAAGAAGGAATCCGCCCGGGGGCGGCCCGAAGGGAGGGCATTTACACCCCGCCCGCCGCTTCGTGTGCGAAAACCCCAAACACTCGGCCCGATAGGCCGATGTTGGTTTGGGCACATGGACTTCCCATGGCCCACCTGATTGGCAAAGATGGCAGTCCCATGGAGTCCGTTGTTGGTTTTACCTACCAATCTACCCAACTGATCCCCTCCACACTTAAAAATCTCTCAAAAACTGGCAAGGGGAGATCCTCCAAACCCGAAAACATGGTGACAAGGTGGCCAAGCATGCCGAGGCCACCCAGCGGCCTGAGGGTTTGTTCTTTCTTAAGAGGCATGAGACTTCGTTCATGTCCTTTCGGGGATAGGAACAAGAAGCTACTAGGGGCTCCTGGCATCGCTACTCGATAGGAACAAGAAGGAGCTTAAGGAACCAACGACCTCCGCATCCGTGTCTCGCTCACTTTCTGCACGTGCTCCCCGGCCTCCTCGCGAGGCGCCTGCCGCGGCTCCGCGTTGAAGCGGCCCGCGGCATCCGCGGGCTGGTAGCCTGAAACCGCGGCCCCGGGTGGGTGGGCCAAGGGGGAGCGAAAACGTCTGGGAGACCTTTCAATACAGCATTTGTTGGTCCCTGAGGATTCCTGGCAAAGCTATCAATTTAGGAGCCTGAATCACAAGCAACCCTTATTTTACTACGAATTTGCAGCTGGAGGTTCTTCTTCAAAAAAAAGTTTCAAGCTCCAAGAATGTGGGGACAGGGAGTGGTCAACAAAAAACACCCAAATGCACAAACGGTGTGGTTTCGTAGTTGTTGAGAAAATGGGGTACTTGCCGAGACTCTCCAAAAAGCCCTTAGGTCCCTTGGACGCTTCATGAGCTGTTGGAGGGCGCTGCAAGGATCGCGTTAAGGTCTTTGGCAAAAGTAAGGACTGAGCAGTGGAATGTGGGCTCACTACCCCCAAAGGTTTGTTGAGTGTTTCTCAAACAAAGCAACCCGTGAAGGGGAACTCATGAGCGGGCTTTGCTCCCCTTTGAGTATCTGATAGCGTC